GGCAGAGGCAATTAATCTATCTATTTTAAACCTCCATCAAACATTTTTGATACTCTGCTCTATTACTGTAGACTGGTTCTTCTTACCCCAGTTTTTCTTCATTAGGTTATGGGTTGCTATTTTTATATTAACAACTGATGACCCCATCATAGTACCAAAATATCCCCCAATTTGGAGTTACAATTTTATTTAAGACATAAACCAGGGTTTGTAGAAGGAAAAGTCACCCTAAATCCCTGCCTGCTCAAGTCTCACCCATGAGAGTGCAAATAGGAAAGAGAAGAAATTGGCATGCATCTCTGAACTTGAGAGCACTGCTTGGGCCTCCCTGGATGATTTCTACCTCCTGGATTTCCTCTACTTCTCAGACAGCTGCTCATAGAGCTTGGGTACATAGTCATCCCATTTTGCCTGGTAACATGTGCCAGCCACCAGAGACCCAGCTCCTTTTTGCAGAAAGATGACATCTTGAATTTGCCATGGTGGTCTCCAGATTGGTAGCTGAGAACAGACTCTTCACACTTCAACAGCCTGTCATTTACATAAACCAACAAGACATATGGTAGAGTCTTGAGCCCTTGAGAGGCCCAAAGCCCACATAATTGGACCACCAGAAAATGGTACTATGTTCCATATTTTGGAACATCTTGATCTGTCAAAACCAAGGTGTAAATTTTTCCTGAATCAAGGCCATTTCATGTAATACTGGTAGGCCGGTTTTAACCTAACTGTCAGCATTTTACCCAGCTTGTCAAACTTTGCCCCTGTGATTGAAGTAAGTAGGACGGATTCTCCTTCCTGAGCCCCACTGTCCAGTCCCTGTCTGGCTCTCTGCCAAAAGTTCCTCCAGAAATAAAGGGTCCCTCAGATTCACTGGTGGGTTTGCCTCTCAGACACCTCCACTGGCCCTGAGCTCCGCTGTGCGGCTTCTTTGGTAGACACAGATCAGGGCTAACTTCCCAGGTGGGATGATGGTAGGAGCTCGCACTGCTCCCTCCAGTGAGTTTCAGCTTTTGTCTCCCACTGCTGCACTCCCAACTCACACCCGCAGCCAGCACTGTCCCGGCAGTGTCTTTCTGCTCCGGGTGCTCCCTGCAGTCCTGGCTCCATGGCCTAGCCACAGCTTACTCAGCTTTCACTCAGCCTCTTAATTGCAAATTTTATATAATTCCATTCCCCCTCATTTTGCATATTAAGTATATGTTTAAAAACTTTAGACAGTTGCCCTAGAGTTTACAATATATATCAGTAACTAATTAATTGTAATCTAATTTGAATTAACTAAAGTAATTGAACTAAAGTAGACAACCTAATCTAGTTGTAAAGTTTTTATGAGGTTATGTGGGATCTGTTCACATCTCTATGGAAAAGCATACGGTCATAGACATGACTGTCCTGCAGAAATAAATTTATAATACTCATGGTTTCCTAGAAAAGGGAGGCATGCCACACCATGCAGGGCCCACATGAGAAAGACTAGGTTTGATCAGGTAGCATAGAGAGAAAGAGGAAAACATGAGCACGAGCCTTTATTTTGGTTTCCTTGTGAGGATATGGACAAGGTAGGGCAAGCAGGCCTAGGACTGGCTAATTTGAAAAATTTTCAGCATACTCTGATATACAGAGGCTATCCCTAGTTTGATGCCTGGCCCTAGTGTGATTTTGCCAGATGGATAAAGGCCCAGAGTATGTGAACTTGATAAAGGAGCGAGTTCCTTATATGGGCTCTTAACTGAGTGTTTTGCATATGAAAGGTGGCCCTTGTAGATGAGCTTTTTACTTTCTCAAGGAATTGGGTGACTCTAGGATGGGCAGTTCTCCAGGGCTAGCAAGGCCCCAGACAGAAAAACATCAGAATACAGAAAATAGAAGTTATCTTTAATTCAATTAGCCTTATTATGCTTTGATATATTATTCAACCTTTGGAGTAATAAAGGAGACTTTTTAGAGAGAAGAGCATAAGTTGCACCAAACAGCATAGGAAACATTTTATTATGAGAGTAGAAAGGAGAAATGCAACAAAAAGTATATGGAATCATTTTAGGCCAACCCATAACTAAATTTCCCATTTATATGGCATTAGCCAAGGAAATAGATCTGAATTTTTTTGGCTCTAACAGTATTGTTGTGGAGTTGTAACATGTTAAAAGTTATACATACACACACACACTTATATGTACATAAATTATATATATATAAAAATAGGTATATATATATTTTGACAATAATATCTTGTTGTATTTCTTTGATCAAAATAGTAAATCAGGCAGTTGATGTTTTTGGAGTATATTAATTGGTAGTTTGCTAAAATATATGTAATGATTAGTGGTATTCGTATGTAACCAAAGGGAAGACATGGTTGTGATGGTCATGGTTAGAGGTGCAGGGTGGAAGGTTGTGATAGAAAACTGGAGGGGATAATAGAAGAAGGCACTGGTGAGTGGTCCTCTCCCCAGGGGTTCAAGAGGTTCACTGATATGAGGCAGGTATCTCCTAGAGAAAACAATAACCTCCATTACTTTTTAGAATGGCACAGACAGTAGTAACCTTGACCAGATTTTCCTTTAGACATTGAGTGTAGGAATACATGTTGGACAAAGAACAAAAAGTATACCAATATAATGTGCTACATAAATAGCAAACTCAGGAAACACAATAGAATCCTTAATATCAAAATAAGAAACCAAATAAATTTCCTGTGTCCAACTGTGCCTTAGGAATGGCAGTCCAAAAACATGTCTAGGGTGGAAGTTTTAGTGTCTGAAGCGAAGTCTCTGGTGCAGGATGCATTGTTATCTCCAATCAGGAGATGTCAGGAGTGATGTCATTTCTAGCAGTGAGGTTCTGAGCTATGGTAATGTTGTTTGAGATGTAGAGTTGGGGCACTCTTTCCAAGTTGATATTCTCTTGAGTTAATGTAAGTTTTGTTTTTGTGGCTTTGTGGTCTTACAATGATCCTGAGGCACTGTTGTATAATGTGAATTGTTGGGCCTGGAACTTGGACCTCGACTTATAAATATAATTTAACTCAAGGGGCTTATAAATGCAGAGCTAGCAAAAGTGATGTTGGTATCTGTGCCAGAATGTGACTAGTACAGTTAAAGCCTAAATTAGGTATGGCGGGATTTTAAAGTGTCCAACAGACAAAGGTTTTGTCTTATTAGGTGATGAGAAGCGTTCTGTTATAAGTAGGTTTTAAATCATATGACCAAATTAATTGTAAGTTGTTAATGGGGTGACAGATTGTTTGTCATTTAAAAAATCTGTGCCTGAGGTTGGGGCTCCAGAATTAAGATGTAGGCAGTTATATGGGCCCTTTGCTTGTTTCTTTGGTTGGTAATAAGCAAGCTGGTGAGGTCTTTGGGTTGTAGGTGATTTTTGTGACCAAAGCTGAACCTACATTGACCCATCAAAATCATCCAAAGTCTATAGTTTACCTTAGGGTTCAATCTTGGTATACATTCTATAGGTTTGGAATCTATCATCTATCTATCTATATCTATCTATCTATCTATCTATCTATCTATCTATCTACCTACCATCTATCATCATCTCCCCATCATTACAGTATCATATAGAATATTTTCACTGTCCCCCCAAAATCCTCTGTGCTCTGCTTATTAATTCCACCTTTACAAGAAACCACGAATCTTTTTATTGTCTCCATAATTTTGTTTTTTTTCAGAATGCCATATAGTTGGAATTATACAGTATGTAGCTTTTCAGATTGAGTTCTTTTACTTAGTAATATGGATTTAAGTTTCCTCCATTTCCTTTCTTTATTTTATAGCTCATTTCTTTTTATTTTTTCTTTATTGATTTTAGAGAGAGAAGAAGGGAGAGGGAGAGAGAGAGATAGAAACATTGATGAAAAAGAACATCAATTGGTCACTTCCAGCATGCCCCCACTGGGGATTTGGCCCACAACCTGGGCATATGCCCTGACCGGGAATTGAACAGGCAACCTCTTGGTGCATAGATTGATGCTCAACCACTGAGCCATACTGGCTGGCCTACAGCTCATTTCTTTTTAGTGCTAAATAATATTTCATTGTCTGAAATGTGCCACAGTTTATGTGTCTATTCACCCACTGAAGGATATCATGGTTGCTTGCAAGTTTTGGCAATTATGAATAAAGTTGCTATAAACATCTCTGTGCAGAAACTGGAAATATTACAAAGGAGAACAATAATACCTACTAGGGGTGTATTAGTTGTTGATTGCTATATAAATGATTGTACCAAAACTTAGCAGAAAAAAACACCACAGTTCTGTGGGCTAGGATTCTAGGAGCAGCTTAGTGGGCAAAATCAAGGTGTCAGCTAGAGCTATAGTAATCTCAGGGTTCAACACAGATAATTTGTTTCCAAGCTCAGTCATATGGCTATTGGAAATCTTTTTTCCTAGCTCACTCAGGTGGACCTCTCCATAGGCCTACTTCATGACATAGTAGCTGGCTGGCTTCCCCCAGAGTGAGGAGAGTGAGACAGAATCCAAGAAGTCAGTTTTTTTCTAACTTATCTTGGAAATGACCCATCAATTCTACTGTATTTAGTTAACTAGAAGTATGTCAATAAGTCCAGCTTACATTCAAGGACATAAATATTAGAAGGCAGAAATCATTGAGACCCATTTCAGAGGCTGCCTTCTAAAATAAAATATATAATTGATTATTAAAAGATTAGAGGCATTTTGTTTAAACATATTCAAAGAAGCAATACAACGTGGTGTTAAAGACTCTAAGATAGCTGCTGTTGTCATTAAATAATAGTATTTTGAAATTGAGCTATTGTGGTTATTTATCCATGTTTAATAAGTCTGTCATCTAAATACTTATATAACTACTATAATTGCACCTATATAGGTGTCTTGGATGCATTAATACATTTCAAAAATGAGTTTCATTTACTAATTTTTGATTATAGTAAGTATTTTTTTTAAATAACTGAATAGTAGGATTCTTAACTAAATCTTTTTCTTTTATTTTCCTTGTATTTAGTATCCAGATGGTTCATCTTTGGAGTCATATACTGTCAGTATCGTGCAGTTGCTTGGCCTTAATTTGGGACTGAGTTTTGATAATACTGACACCTGCTATTGTTCAGGAGATGTTTGTACAATGTCACCAGAAGCCGCGTAAGATAATTTTCTTTATGAAATCCATGTATTCCTTTTCAGAAATCTTTTGTTTAGAAAATTTTACATTTTTATTAACCAAACTAATGACATTATAGAAAACTGTATCTAACAACTACAGAATACACAATTTTTTTCAAGTGTAGTTGGAAACACACACCAAAATAGGCTCAGCATTCCCCTAGCACTCCATGCCTGGGGAACCTCTCTTCCTCCTTCCTACAGAGTTTGGCTTTATTTTTCTGGCCTGCTTGAGAGTTCCCTGTAGGGACAAGCCAGATGAATTGCGTAATTTCAGTGCTTCTGCATAGTTAAATGCTTTGCTGTTTGCATTTAACTGGCATTGCACAATATAAGGATGAACAGTACAATTCCTGTTAAATTTTTTATTTAGAAAGACATTAAATTGTAAATAAATAACACCTTGACCCACTGATAGAAAGAGACCATTGAAGAAAGAACAAAAGATTTTAGTTTTAGTATCATTAATAATACTTTTCCTTTGCTTTATAAACAAGGAGCCCCGCATTTCCATTTTGCGTTGGTTCCCACATATTGTGTAGACAGTCCTGGCTGTTTCACATCATCATCAGGACTTGCTGTATTCAGTATGTTTAATTTGAATCATTTTAGTGGGTATGTAGTATTATCTCATATTGCTTTTAATTTTCATTTTTCTAAGAGCGAATGATGTTGAGCATATTTTTATGTTTAATAGCTTTGTATATATTCTTTGGTAAAGAACTTATTGAAATCTTTTTTCTCTTTCAATTTTTAAAACAAAAAATAATATTTTCGTGTTCTTATTGAGTAGTAAGAATTGTTTATATGTTCTTGCTATGAAATACATGATTTCTTCCCTATAATACATTCTTTTAAGAACATGTTTTTAGCCCTGGCTGGTTTTGCTCAGTGGCTAGAGAGTCAGCCTGTGGACCAAAGAACTGCGGGTTCAATTCTGGTCAAGGGCACGTACTACGGTTGTGATTTGATCCCCAGCCCTGGTTGAGGTTGTGTGGGAGGCAACCAGTCGATGTGCCTCTCTCACACTGATGTTTCTCTCTCTCCTTCTCCTTTTCTTCACCCCACTCTGTCTGAAAACTGATGCAAAAATATCCTTGCGTGAAGATTAAAATAAAACAAACAAAAAAACATATTTTTAATTTTGATGAAGTACACTTTATCATTTTTTTATTTTCTGGTTTATTTATAACTCTTATATTCAGTTTTATGATACATTTATTATATATATTTTTAAGTTCATTTTTATTTTCGCCATATGGATTTCCAGTTATTCCAATGCCACTTGTTACAACAACCATCCTTTCCCTCACTTAATTGTCTTGGCCACTTTAAAAAAAAGTGAATTGACCATATGTGGATGTTTTTACCATATGTGGGATCTCTATTTCATATCATTTTCTATATGTCCACACTTATGGAGAAGTAGACTGCCTTTATTACTGTACCTTTATATTGAATTTTGAAATCACGTAGTGCAAGTACCCAAGTTTTGACATTTTTTTCTAAAGTTGTTTTGGCTATTCTAGGTCCTTTGCATTTTAATATATATATATATATATATATATATTTATCAGCTTTTTAGTCTAAAAAATTTCCTGATGAAATTTTGTAAAGTATTGCATTGTTTAATTGCATAGTTAAATTTTGGGATAATTACCATCTTAATAATATTGAATATTTTGATCCTTGAATATGGTATATGTCTTCATGTATGTAGGTCTTTTTAAAGATAAATTTAAACTATAAAATACAATTACATTCCTACAATTAATTTACCTTGCTCTCCAATTTTATGTAAATTGAATATGTACTATACTCTTAGTATTCACTGTATAATTCTCTGAATTAACTAAACATTTTTCTTGAATAAGTTGAATGTATAATATCATTTCCTTTTGAATATTTGTAAGCCAAATTTAACTCCTGGGTTATCTCAGTGTTGATTTTTATTGATTGCAGTTTTTATTAGCTATGGATTACACTTTTTTATTTCTTTGATGTCTATTATTATTGCTGTCATCATCATCATATTAGATGTTGTTATACACTAGAAAACTTAGATTCTCCAGCCTTCCTCTGAAGAGCATTGATTCTTTTTCTACCAGGAAATCCAACTATTGGCTAATCATTTTGAAATTTATTCATTTGCATTTATGCTTTATTAATATGAATATATGAAAACTCAAGGTATTTCTGACTTGGTCTCCTCTGAGGATCCTGTCAGAGCTTGAATTAGGCTGTGTTAGAGTTGATATAGAGTAGATTTTAGTATAGGGCAGAGATTAGCCAACAATAATCCATTTGCCAAAATTAACTGGCTACCTTATTTGTAAATAAAATCTTATTGAAATACATCCAAGCTTATTGGTTTACATATTGTTTATGATTTCTTTTGTACTACAGTGGCAAACTTCTTATTTCCAACAGAGTAAACAACATATAAACTGATACAATTTACTATCTGGCTCTTTATAGAAAAAGTTTCTCAACCCCTGATCTAGGGCACAGTCTTTAGTTTCTTAAATCATATGATTTCTATTGTTTTGGTTTGAATCCAAGCTGGTACCAAAGTGCTAACAGCTCTTATTCTGTCAAGACAGGTACTCCTACTGCCCCTCCCATAACAGCTCAAATAACAAATCTTTATTTGAAAAATATTTAGTTATGGAGAGCAAAAAAGCTCTAAAATAGCTATGAAAATTACTATAAATAGTACTCACAAATACTATTAATAAATATACTATTTAGTGTATTCATATTGGCATTTACAGAAAAATATAAAGAATGTTAAATAGATTAAAAGTACATCAAATACTGATGCCAAAAATTTTAAATTCTGTTGTTTGGCACTGGGAAAATAAGTAAGAATAACACAGTTCCTGTTTTTTCAAATACAAGAATTTTCTTGGTGAAATTTAAAGTGTGTTAAACATATTAGCAATGCAATTAATATGTTTTAAAGTGTGCTTTTTGTTTTCCATGAATAATGCTCTTTAAATCTCTCTCGAGAATGATGTATATTAGGGGAAACGCGGAGATATATAATAATAATTTTTATCATACCCATGTTTTTAATATTTTAGGCACTCCCGGGGTGTAAAGGATTTTAGCACCTGTAGCTTGGATTATTTTAAATATTTTACTTCAAAGTCTGGCCTTGAATGTCTTCATGACAGCCCTCCTATTACGCCAGATTACAAAGCAAATGATAAGGTTTGTGGCAATGGAAAGTTGGAAAAAGGGGAACAATGTGATTGTGGCCTTGCAAAGGTTAGTAGAAATATTTTCAAAAAAACTTTTATTTTTTATGTATGTGCATAATGTATAGAAAAGAAGATAAAGACCATATTGTTTAGGAAAATAATTTGACCAACCAGTGTGGCTCAGTTGGTTGAGCATCATCCCATGTACCAAGAGGTTACCAGTCTGATTCCTCATTCCAGTCAGGGCACATGCCCGGGTTGTCGGCTTGATCCCCAGTAAAGGGCATGCAGGAGGCAGCCAATTGATGTTTTTCTCTTATAGATGTTTTTATTTCTCTCTCCCTCTCCCTTTCTGTTTTATAAAATCAATTTTAAAAAGAAAAAGAAATTTAAAGAAGGATTTTTTTTTTTTTAAGTAAGTGGCAGCCTTTACGTCTACTAATTTTTGCTATTTTTGGAAATGGAGAACAAATGTTCTTAAGATAACGCTTGTCTTCAAATATTGTCTTTTGACATTATTTAGTGTATGCATCAGCTACACACTTAGAATTGGTGACCACAGAGTACTGAAGGAGTTGAAGAAATATACTGAACAACAAGCAGTAACAAAAATAGACAAGAACATCTGAAGACTATAGACTATTACCAGTGAGATAGCAAAATGCATTATTTCATAATATAGTGAGAAAAAGATTTGTATTGACAGATGATGCCAACTAAAAATATTTTTAAATGAAATCTATTACTTGTAGAAACTATAAAAATACACAACAAAGATTAAACTAAAAAATAAAAGATGATAGAAGTATTGAAAATACTAATAAGAAATGATCAATAACAAAAAAGACAGTGCCAGGAAAGAAATATCTGATATTGATAGGCTACATAATTTAGAGCAATCTTACTACTGAAGACTAGTACAGCTGACTGATGGCACTGAATCTTATAAAATATAAGTAACTATAGGGCCAGCATCCCAGTGAAATCAGAGTCTGAAGAGATGAGCCTGGCTTCCGGGACCATGTTTTTTTAAGGGTAGGTTTGGGGATTTTGCCATTTCAGAAAGAGAATAATGTTGCTTTTAATAGCTTCACATCAGAGATTTGGCTTCTAAAATTTATTATAAAAGCAAGAATATAAGAAAAATTTTGAAGAGAATGGTCGTTAACAATGTAGCCAAATTATTTCCTCTAAGGTTTTGGCTCCACAGTGTGTTAATATTGTTCAGATTAGACGGAATGTAGTGAAACAAGTTTCTTTTACAAACCAGTGAATGAGATGCTGATTTCTATAAATTTCATATAAATAATGGGAATATTAAAACTGTGAGTTTAACTATTATAAATAGTGCTGCTATGAACATAAGGGTACACATGTTCTTTCTGATTGGTGTTTCAGGCTTCTTAGGGCATATTCCTAGAAGTGGGATCACTGGGTTAAATGGCAGTTCAATTTTTAATTTTTTGAGGTAACACCATAGTGTTTTCCACAGTGACTACACCAGTCCGCATTCCCACCAGCAGTGTACTAGAGTCCCCTTTTCTCCACACCCTCGCCAACACTTGTTTGATGATTTGTTGATGGCAGCCATTCTGACAGGTGTGAGGTGATACCTCACAGTTGTTTTAATTTGCATCTCTCTGATGATTAGTGATGTTGAGCATTTCTTCATATGTCTCTTGGTCATTTGTATGTCCTGTTTGGAGCGGTGTCTCTTTAGGTCCTTTGCCCATTTTTTAATTGGGTTCTCTGTCTTCCTTTTGTTGAGTTGTATAGGGGGGGGAGATAAACCACAGAACTTATATGCATGTATGCATGAACAACGAACATAGACAACAAAGTTGGGGGTGGGACTAGGGGGAAGGGGAGGAGGGTGTCAATGGGAGAAAAATGAGAAACATCTGTAACAAAAACAAATTAATAAATAAAAAACAAAAACCAAAACAAAAACCTGGGAATTTAAGAAACGTTTTACACTTTGTAAAGAGATTCTGAGTTGCTGTTTTATTTGATGATGCCTAATCATATGAGATTGAGTAGCAGCCTTTATTTACAGGCTTGTACACATAAAGCGTGCTGTGATCCTACATCATGTAGATTGAAACCTAAGAAAATATGTGGCTCTGGGGAATGCTGCACACAAGATTGCAAGGTAAGAGGCAATCTGTATTTTATAACAGCTCAGCATTAATTTCTTGAAATTCCTGTTCAAAGATGGAAAACATAATCCACCCTTCTCATTTTATTGTATCTAAGTAACATCGGACCCACTCTTTCACTTCAGTCTATTCAGCAAGCTGTCATTTTCAGAATGATTCTTTTTTCCTGACTTGACTTCCCATTTCTATACCTCATTACAAATCTTTCTTGTACCCACTGAAATTTTTCAATGATGGACATACATATAGAGCAACCCTTTTAAGGTTTTTATTTTTTATTTTTTTCTAACACCCTCCTAACATGGGGTCAGAAAGTTAGATTAATTCCTTTGATTGGCTAAATTCTCTTCACTGTCTTCTGGTAAAGTCCTCTGTTATTTTCCAGTTCATTCAGTTATTGTTGCAATCATTCAATCCCTCTTTTGTATTGAAAGCATTTTAAGAATTCCCTAATAATTGCCCCACACCCAGTACAATTTACTGGAATCCTAAGGAAAAAAGAAACAAACTCCTGAACAAATTGCAAACATCTGTAAGATTGGAGAAAGAATATGCTTTTATCTTTTAAAAAAATTTCCCCCAGCTTTACTGAGATAGAAATGACATATAACGCTGTATAAATTAAGGTTTACAATGTAATGATTTGGTATAAGTATATATTGAAAAATGACTACCACATAAAGTCAGTTAACACATCTACCACTTCACATAGCAAGAACATTTAAGATTTGCTATCTTAGCAACTTTCAAATATATAATACGTTATTATTAACATAGTCACCATGCTGTATATTAGATCTCCAGACTTATTCATTTTATAGTTGAAGATGTGTACTCTTGACCAACATCTTCCCATTTCCCCCACCTTGCAGCATCTGGCAACTACCATTCTATTTTCTGTTTTGGTGAGTTTATTTATTTAATTATTTATTTATTTATTTATTTATTTATTTATTTATTTATTTATTTATTTATTTTTAATATCTATATTCCACATATGAGATCATAAAATATTTGCCATTTATTTCTGGATTTTAGTTTTGTATCCTGCTACTTTGCCAAATTCATTGATTAAATCTAGTATTGTGTGTGTGTGTGTGCACGCGTGTGTTTTAGGGTTTTCTATGTACAATATCAGGTCATCTGCAAATAATGACAATTTTACTTTCTCCTTACCAATTTAAATGCCTTTTAGTTTTTCTTCTTGTCTGATCACTGTGGCGGGACTTCCAGCACTACATTGAATAAGAGTGGTGAAAGCAGAAAGTCCTATTTCCTGTTCTTAAGAGAAACACTTCTAGTTTTTCCCCATTGAGTATGATATTGGCTCAAGGTTTGTCATACATGGCCTTTATTATGTTGAGGTATGTCTTTTTCTTTGCAATGTCTTTATCTGGTTTGGGGATCAGGATAATACTGGCCTCATAATAAGACCTTGGAAGTCTTTCTTCCTCTTGAATTTTTTGGAGTAGTTTGAGAAGGAAAGCTGTTAATTCTTTGAATGTCTGGCAAAAGTTGCCTGACAATTCAGCTTATCAAGGACTTTTGTTTGCTGGGAGTTTTTTGAATACTGCTTCAATTTGATCAGTTGTTATTACTTATTCAGGTTTTTTTATTTGTTTTGATTGCATTTTGGCAGATTGTATATTTCTAGGAATTTTTTCATTATGCCCACGTTGTCTCACTTGTTGGCCTATACTTGTTCATAATATTTTCTTACAATCTTTTGTATTTCTGTGATGGCAGTTGTTACTTTGCCTCTTTCATTTCTGATGTTATTTCTCTGGGCCCTTTCTCTTTGTTTCTTGATGAGTCTGGTTAACATTTCATCAACCTTTTTTTTTTTAAATTTGTTTGTTAATCCTCACACAATGAGATATATATATATATATATATATAACTTTTTTACTTTTTAGAGAGAAAAGAAAGGAGAGAGAGATAGAAACATTAATGAGTGAGAGAAACATCAATTGGTTGCCTCCTGAATGCCCGCTACTGAAAATTGAGCCTGCAGTGTGGACATATGCCCTGACTGGGAATTGAATTGAGACCTCTCAGTTCACTGGACGACACTTAATCCACTGAGCCACACTGACCGGGCAAAGATATTATTTTATTTATTTTTATTTATATTTTATTTTTTTTAGAAAGAATGGAAGGGAGGGGGTAGAGAGAGATGAGAGAAACACATTGATTATTTCCCAATCAGGCCCAGAAACCACCTTTTAAAAAATATATATGTTTTTATTGATTTTAGAGAGAATAAGAGAGAGATAGAAACATTGATCAGCTGCCTCCTGTACACCTCCTACTGGGGATCGATCCCAAAACCCAGGTATGTGCCCTTACTGGGAATCGAATATTGTCTCAGTCCATGAGACAATGCTCAATCTACTGACCACACTGGCTGGGCATGTCCTCTGTTTTTGTTTTGAGTCTATTTGGAGGGAAATAAGTTTTTCTACCCCAGTTTTTTTTTTAATTTTCATGCATGGAAGATTATTTTTGTATTCTTTCATTGTCAGCCTATGTGAATCGTTTCTTCTGAGGTATGTTCCTTGTAGACAGTCTATATATGGGTCATGTTTTCTTATCTATTCAGGTACCCTATGTCTTTTTATTAGAGCATTTAATCCATTTACATTTAAGTTTATTATTGATAGGTACTTATTTATTGCCTTTAAAATTCTTTATGCGTCATATGTTCCTTTCTCTCTCTATTTCTTCTTCTTATAGTAGTCCTTTTAGCATTTCTTGCAATGCTGATTTGGTGGTGCTGAACTCCTTTAACTTTCTTTTGCCTGGGAAGCTATTTATTTTGCCTTCAATTTTAAATTATAGCCTTGCTGGATAGAACAGTCTTGATTGCAGGTTCTTGTTTTTATTATCTTGAATATTTCATGCCACTCTTTTCTGGCCTGAAGTGTTTCTGTTGCGAAAATGTCTGACAACATTATGGGAGCTCCCTCATAGGCAACTAACTGTTTCTCTCTTAGTACTTTTGAGGTTCTCTCTTTGACTTTACCTTTGGCCATTTTAACTATGATGTGTCCAGTTGTGGGTTTTCTTGAGTTGGGACTCTGTGCTTCCTGAACTTGTGTGACTTTTTCTTTTACCAGGTTAAGGATGTTTTCTGTGATTATTTCTTCAAATAGGTTCTCTATTCCTTGCTTACTTTCTTCTTTTTTTGGTACCTCTATGATGTGGATGTTGTTACATTTCATATGGTCCTATTGTTCCTTTCAACTATCCTTATTCTTTTTAATTCATTTTTTTTGTGTTGTTGTTGGTTTGATGGTGTTTTTTCTACCTTGTCTTTCAAATTGCTGATTCAATCCTCCACTTTGTTCAGCCTACTTTTAATTCCTTCCAGTATATTCTTTAAAAAATATATGTTTTTATTGATTTTAGAGAAAAAGGGAGAGGGAGAAAGAGAGAGAGAAACATCAATTGGTTGCCTCCTATATGCACCCCGACCAAGAACTGAGCCTTCAACCTGGACATGTGCCCTGATCAGGAATGCAACCCACAATCTCTTGGTGCATGGGATGACACTCAACCAACAACCCCACTGGCCAGGACCCTTTTAGTGTATTCTTAATGTCATATATAATATTCTTCATTTCTAACTGGTTCTTATTCATGATTAATTTGTCCTTTTTCATGATGATTTAGTTTCCATTAAGTTCCTTATAATTCTCATTAAGTTCCTTGTAGTTCTCACCAAGTTGTTTTGAAATTATTTTGAAATCTATGTCTGATAAATTGCTTGCCTCCATTTTATTGATTTACTTTTCTGGAGATTATATTTATTTTTTTCATTTGGGGGTTGTTTCTTTGTTGCCACATTTTAACAGTCTCTTTGTGTTTGCTTCTATGTATTAGATAGAACTACTATGATTCCCAGACTTCTTGGGGTCGCCTTATGTAGTAGCTGTCCTGTGGGATTCAGTGGTGCAGTCTCCTTGATCTCCTGAGCTGGATGCTCTAGAAATGTCCCTTGTGTGGGTTATGTGGGCCCTCCTGTTGTAATTGGGTTTTGATTGCTCTTGGCCTGTTTGTGGGTGAGGTCAACTTTCAAGCTTAAGCTCAATCTGATCATGTTGTGCAAGCTGCTGTGCAGGTGCAGTCTCAAGGTGTCTTGCCGGGGCTCATGGTCACTTATGCTCCATGCTCCACGGATGTTTCTTGTGGGTTATGTGCACCCCCTTTTGTAGTTGTGTCTTGATGAATGCTGTTGGCCCTTTTGTGGGTGGAGTTAACCCTTTAGGCTAGGTGGCTATAAAGGTAAACCTTGATCACCATGTATGAAATGTGAAGAGACTGTCTCCTGAGGCAGAATTGCTCCTAGTAGGGTCTGGTGCTTGCCAGGTTCTTCCTTTGGGTATGTTGCTTGTGTGGCTGGGTGGGTCAAGCTCTGGTGTGGTCTGAAGCCCACCACTCATTGTGTTGGTTCTGGGTCCACTCTGGTGGGTTTCAGGTACAGGTCACTTTCAGTCATTGTTTTTAACAAGTTTTGGGCTACCTGTTTGCAGCTTCCACATTGTACACTGTGGTGTGCCTGAGAGGGGTCAATTTGTATAGATAGGTCAGGTTCTTAGAACTCTGAGCTTTTGTGAGATCAATAAAAGACCAAGGATCCCTGACGTAGGCATCCACATTTCAGCTCCTCTGCTTCCCCTTCATGTTGCCTGGATTTCCTCCAGAGTCTTATGCAGAAAGGCTATAGAGTGGGCCCAAGGTGGCCATGCCCCACTGACTTTTCCACAGGGCTCAGGCTTGATGGGTCAGGGCAACCAGGTTGGGCAGACAGAGTTAGTAGTTCCCCTAATTTGGGGCAGCATGGTCTGGAACTCAACTAAGAACATGGCTCCTACTCCTGAGCCATACCATTCAGACTCTAACAGAATCTCCAACTCTATCTTCCTCAGGAGGAGTGCACCACAGGTTCAGTTGGCTGTAGCCTGCTGTCCTTACTGCAGGGGAAAGCTCA